GGAGACCCAGAAACAACAAATGGACAAATGGAATTGCATGAAACTGCAGAGCTTCTGCATGGCAAAGGGCATGGATAGCAAGATGAATAGAAAGCCCACGGAGTGGGAGAAGATCGTCACTAGCCATACAACAGACAAGGGTCTCATATCTAAAATATACTCAGAACTCAAAAAAATTAAGTCACCTAAAAGCAAATCCTCAAATAAACAACCACTCCATTAATATGTGGGCTAAAGACTTAAAGAGAGACTTCTCTGAAGAGTAAATAAGAATGTCCAGTAGTCACATGAAGAAATGCTCAACTTTTCTGGCCACAAAAGAAATGCAAATCTAACCAACATTGAGACTCCACCTCAACCCAGTTAGAATGGCTATAATCAAAAAATCTAATAATGACAGATGCTGGAGGGGATGTAGCCAAAAGGGAATCCTACTGCATTGTTGGTGGGAGTGTAAACTTGTTCAGCCACTCTGGAAAGCAGTATGGAGGTTCCTCAAAAGACTCCACATATAACTCTCCTATGACCCAGAAATTTTACTTCTGGGCATTTACCCAAAAGATCACAAACAAGGCCATACTAAAGATACCAGCACAACTATGTTTATCACAGCATTATTCACCATAGGTAAGATATGGAACCAACCCAGATGCCCTTCAGTAGATGAATGGCTCAAGAAAATGTGGTGCATATATGCAATGAAATTCTATGCTTCCATCAGAAAGAATGACATTGCCCCATTTGTTAGGAAATAGGAAGTCTTGCAAAAAATCATATTAAGCGAAATTACCCAGTCTCAAAGAAATTTACGTCCCATGGTTTCCCTTTTTTGCAGTAATTAGTGTGTATATATATATATATATATATATATAATTTATAATATATAATATCAGATGAGCTAAAAAGCTCAAAAACCATGTACAAATGACCATATAAAATGATGCTAAGTGAAATGAACCCCAAGATACGGACACAAGAGGTCTGTCTTTATTGTTATTAAATGTAGGTCTGTCTTTATTGTTTTAAATGTACCGTGCGATTTTATTTGTTGTTGTTGTTGTTGTTTCCTTTGTATGTTCTTTCCCCTATGGCATATCCCTGTTGTCACTGTACTCGATTTTGATACCCTGCATTTTGTATATACATATGTCTAATCTGGGGAGGTGAAAGGGAATAAAAAAAGGTTGATTTTCATTTTCGAATGACACTCTATTACTTGAGTTACATGTAACTCCAGCCCTGAATTTTGCTTCTTTTTTTTAATTTTAATTTTTATTTTTGTGAAATACTGTACAGAGGGGTTACAATTACATGGGCAAGATAATGAGTACATTTCTTATCAGGCATTGCAGCCTCCTCCTCTGTTTATCCTTCACATCTCTTCCCAGCCTCCTCCTGTGAATTTTGCTTCTTATTATGAAGATGGAGTCTCACAGATTTTTCTGCTAGGGCTGGTTCTGAACCACAATTCTTCATAGTTCAGCCTCTGAGAAGCTAGATATACAGGTGTGAACCCACAATATCCAGATCCTAATTGACTACAAATTATTCTTTTAGTCTTTCATTTTAATGTGTATGTGTGTACGTGCACATTTGATTTTGTTCTTAAATGCATTTCCACACTGGGAAGCCTTTGGAAATGCTTACTAAAGTACAGGAAAAGCATGTGTTTGTCAAGCTAGGAAATGCAACACATACCCACTAGGCCACCTGTGAGTATTTTACAGAGGATATGGAGCCACTCCAGCTAGCATGAAGGGCGGAAGGGATCTCAGTCATATTTCTGGGTCTTTATCATCTCAAATGTCTCATTTATTGCCTCATCTCAAATATATGCCAGACATTTCTACATCATTTAAGCCACACATAATCATCTTGCTAAGGAAGCAAAATTATCATTCTAACACTTTCTTCATAATGAGAAAACATTTCATCTTTAGTCTTATTTTCATATAAAAATTACTTCACAAAAGAATAGTAAAAACAATAAATGCTCACTATGAGAAATTTTGGCTCCTTTTCTACTTGAATTAAATAAGAATGATATAAACTCACTAGGTATATTCATTGCCAACTAAGGCAGTTTTCCTCAGCGTGATTCCAGCACCTGTAAGACTAGCTCTTCCAGAAAGACCTACTGTCACTATTAAAACTCTTTCAAGATAAGACATCCCCTGTGTAGGCAAAAATTAATGCCTAAAAGAATAATTGCCCCTTGCTCTCGGAAGTTAATGTATAAATGGCACCATTTATTCAAACTGTTCTTCAAAGAGTTAAAACAGTAAAGCTCAAGCTGAAGTCTGGCTGCACCCCAGGGCCTGCTGGCATCCCTTGGCACTCCTCCAGGTCAGAGAGGGATGTTGTACACTAGGGACAGGAAGCAACCTTAGCGACAGGTATGTTTCATTAATACGCTGAAGGTGAAGGATACTGCCAATAACAATGACAGACCATGAGCGTTCCTTTTCATCACTAGAAAAACAATACACAAAAGGGGCAGAAGGTAGGGCAGCACCTACAAGGAATGACAGCCTCCCTCAGTGACTAGTATAAGAGGAGCAGAAGCTTCCAATAGAGAATAATATTATCTTCTACTAAAAAATAAGTAGAAATCACTGAATCCCTTCTAATGTTGTCTTTGCACTTTGGATATAAAAGTACAAGTAATTTTATAATGTGCTCTCTAAAACTAATATAAAAATACAGTAGTCAGACCAGTATAAAATACTGTGTCATCAGAAAAAAATACATCAAGGAGAAGGAAGAAAACAGGAAGCAAGAGAGAAATAGGAAGCAAATTCTTTCCTAACTCTTAAATAGGAAAACAAAGAATGAGTTTACCGTATGAATTCTGGAATCATAGTACAAATTAAGCCTATGACCAATATTTAAAAATATTTAGAATTACATATATACTAGTACACATGAATATATGTATATAATATACACTTATTGATGATCAAATGACTATATGTGTGTGGGGTTGTACACACTCAGGCACATGTCAATACATTGTACAATTCTTTTCACCTGACAGAATGCTGTTTCTTCAAAGTTCTTTGGAGTAAGATAATAATAGGAACTATCTGAAACTGAGTCAATTTCTTGGTACTGAACTAGCTATGGGACTATTCCTAAAGCTAGTGGTCAGGGCTTATACTAACTGAAAGCGTCATATAGATTATCACAAGGAATAATAGTCACTTCGGTGTACAAGATATTATTCCACTCTGAAACAAAAACAAAGAACTTCCTGCAGATCAAAATAATCTGAACAATGGCAGATATCCTAAATCCCACAAATCTTATTTTAAAATAGGACCATAAACAATCTCATATATATGAGCAAATCACTTAATTTGAGAAATTTGACTCTAATGCAAATTACAATCTCCATGTAAAATTTACCAATATGTAGAATGTCTCTCTATCCAAGGGACTCTCATTTCATTCTTCCAAACACTGACAAAATCCTAAGAATTATAATGATCCCAATGTATAGCTATATATATCCAAAAACAATTCTGAAAATATGTATATAAATCATAAGTTACTCTCCTCTGCTTTCAAAAATATCCACTTTTAATATGAAAATTATACTTTTATTTTTAGTGGTAGTTTTCGAACTCTTTCAATAAACTTCATTATGGTGATATCATAAGGATCGCCATTATAGAATATAACTTTTTGAATACTTAAAATAAACACGGTGGTATTGGGAAAAATTCCCAGACTATAAATATGTAACAAAAAAGGTGTCTTCTTAAATTATGAAAGAAATTATAAGGTTTGTTGTTTATTTAATTTTTCTATTTTTACCCAAAATGCTGTAAATGATCATTGTAGTTTGTTTTACACATGAAATGCTGAGAAAAATCACCATTTGTCTTCCATTGAAAGTCCTCACTGCTGACAAGAAAAATGCCCAAAAAACTGCTTACAACAGCAGAATGCTTTCCTATAGTGTTAAACTAGGTCAAACCAACCTAATAAATTTTGGGAAAAAAAATTCTATGACTTGTTCTTAAAGCTAATTATTTAGCACAGAAACAGCACCAAAGCCAAACAAACTGTAGAACATTTTTATACACGATGCTAAGATCTACTCAGTTTTTCCATTCTAACCAACATGAAGACTAGAAGTGTGAAATGCTTCTTAACTATTTTAAATTTGTATAAGAGCACAATTATTGTAAATTTTTGTAACTTTATTAAAATATTTTTATTAAAACATTTATCTAAGACAGCACTAATCATTTGATGTCTGCATTTCCAGCATCCAAATAGTATAATAGCTCTAATATGCTACTGATGATTGCAGATTCATACATTTATCATTATGGTATTACGTGGAGAGTCACCATCTGCTTTATGGTCATTTTTGACACTCTATAAAAATATCTTCACAGTAGTCATAGAAATCCATCTATCTTCCTTTCCACAGTTTCTAGTAAAAGTGCTCTGATATATTGCTGCTAGATAATATCTCAGAGAAACATAAAACGCCTAGACATAAGATTTATGAGCCACTGCTCTTACTAGGCAGAAATATTAATTTCTTAAAGTTTTGAACATTTTTTAAGAAACAGATTATATTCAGCTGACAAATCTGCAACCACCTTAAGTTCTTTTTAAAAGCAGAATTACAGACCAGAAGGATTAAAGAACATGGGAACAGAATATTACAACTCTAAGTTAGAGTTTCCAAATGAAAACTGAACAGTCCTTCTGAACTACAGGTCTTTAATGCCTGCAGGACTAAAATCATTGTTATTTTAATTTACCAGCTTACTGAATCTTATGTGTATGAAGTTTGTGTGTGATGTATGTGCCCAAGTAGTACAGGGAAAATAAACTCTTAGTAAGAAAATATGCATGAAGTAAATAATAGAAACATCTAAGATACCAATATAATGTTTTCCTCGGTAGAACTCTTTTTGTTCAGTATGTCCCCCTCAAGAATCTGAGAAGAAACTATATGTAGTATATGTATTCCTTACCTCAGTCAAATGAGGAGTAGGGTTAAATCCACAGAGATTGCATACTTGATTCTTGCATTCAGTGCACGTATTGAAGTTAGGGGGATCCTGAGAATCCACATTGAGTTCAGTTTTGCACAGAGGACAGGTTGATTTTGGTTTAATTGTTTTCTCAAGCTTGACAGGAAGGTCAGCCTTTTGAGGCTCCGTGGCTGGAGGTTTGCTATCCTTAACAGCCAGAGGCTTCTTATCAGTTTCTTGTCTTTTCAACATTGGAGCCTGTTCAGCTTTGGGGTCTAACTTTTCAGCTCCAGGAGCTTTCGTTTCCTTTTTTGGAGGCATAACCTTTTCAGAGGCTGGTTGGGCCTGACCTGTGGACTTGGGTGGCCCCTGAGAAGGCGGCGGCTGTGAGGGGGGAGGGGCTTGTTTAGGTGGGGCTGCAGGCCCACCTTGCGAAGGAAGTCCTGGCTGGCCTGCTGTGGAGATTAGGTTTGATGCCTGGCTGAAGATGGATGCTCCAAACCCAAAGAGTTTCCCAGTCACACTTTCTTGAGGAGTTGTAGGCTGTGATTTAGAAGCATCAGTGATACCTCCTAGATTCAGACTGAAACGTCTAGATTGCTCCGGAGGCTTTGGGGGCTGTTGAGAGGCAGGAGTAGTTTGGCCAGTGGTAGATCGTGGCCCAGAGGGCCCAGGTGACCCTTTCGTCATTGGCTTGACATCTGGTTTAGGACTCGTTTTGGTTTGTGCTTTCTTGGGTTCCTCCTTCTTTGGAACTGGATCAACTGGTTTTTGATCTTTACTGTCTAAACTGGGACCACGATGTGAGATAATTTTTGAATCTGATGCAGGTCGAGGTATAGCTTTAGAATCAATTGGGGTGACTTTTTCTCCGGTTGGTGGAAAACTTTGTGAGGGTTTTGTGGATTCTGTTTTAACAGGAGGGGTTTTCTCTTCAGCTTGAGACAGCACTGGGGAGCTGGATATATCAGGTTTTGTTACCACTGATGACAAAGATTCAGTGTCATCTGCAGGTGGTCTTACCATCTGGGGCTGCTTTGGTTTATCATCCACAATGGGGGCCTTGGCCTGCTCAGATGAAGGGACCGAAGTGTCTTTGGGAAGGGTTGGCTTGGGCAAGGCCTCTGCTACAGGAGGCTGCTTGGTGGTAGCTGGAGCAGGACCATGAAGAGTTGGTTGTTTCACTAATGGTGGTGGCTTTTTAGACTCAGGTGCCTTTGCAATATCCTGCTTGGGTGCAGGATCCTTCTTTGGGGAAGCCTGCTGTGGCTGCCCAGATGATTTGCTGGTTGCTGCTGCAGTCTTCGGTTTAGGTTGAGGTGATGATGGAACTGGAGTCAATTCACCTCCCAGAGCTCTTTGCATCTGACAGTTTAAACAGAGCCATTCTTTTATCTAGAAAGAACATAAAACCACCGGTCACTGAGATAACATTACAAATAAAAATAACTCCAAAATATACTTGCTGACATTGGTTCTAGCTATGTCTCTCCATATTCAAAGCATAAAATGCACACCACATTAATTTAACTTAGAGTAAAACAGATAAAATTTAATTGTATAAAAATATAATTAATGAAACTCACAAAAACAAAAGCAATGTACATTAAGGCAAGTAAAATGTACCAACTGAAATACAGTTTCAAGTTTCTTCCAATGTTAATGTTGTTATTCTTTGACTCTTATTTGCTCAATCTGATTGCTCTCAGAAAACTTGTAGAACAAGAGTTTAAACTTACTAGATTTTATTAGTCACTTTATATATTTTCTTTATTCATGGCTCCTCACAGATTTTAGATATACAAGACAGTTTTGAAAACATTACTAATTTCTTAAATTTAGCAAGTCATTACTTTACCCTCTAAGTCAACATACTGAAATGTGTGAAAAACAAAAATCATTAACTATGCTGGGTTAGAAAGAGAACATTTTCTGCAAAGGGAATAAATAAACAATCATCTCCTCCAAATATCATAATTTAATACAGAAAGTATGATGTACTTGCAAATATTATAAATATATTTTAAAATAGCATAAGTAAACAATATACATTTTTGACTGAGAATACATGTGTGTGAAGAAAGCAGGGAAATGTAACTATAAATACACAATGTGTGGGTTGACGCACAATAACTGCTCTTTTTATATTGTACTATTGTGAAAAATACTGAATTTGATGTCATATATTACAGATAATTTAAAAATATTTTAGCATTTATCGTTACATATATTATTCTAAATGATGTTTTCTAACAGAGGATTTTCAATGTTACCAAAATAACTTAGAATGTAAAAAAAAATCTAATTTTCCCTGCCAACAGCAATCCATCCCAATATTTTTTCCCTAAATTCTTTGTGAAGAATATGATATAGGGGAAAAACAAATATATGACACACTGCCATCAGAAAAATTTCCCATAATTCAAAATTATGTAGTGGTGGGTTGCCAAACAATATTTTTAATTTTTCTTTTATTTTTTTCATAGACCTATACAATCAGCTCATATTTATGCTGCCAGAGACTGGAGAAAATGTAATTAAAACATAATTCTTTACAAGTACTATGTTTTTGTATAGAGCATCTATTACATCAAATGTATATCCACAATAATGACTTTAAATTTCAAGCTTCTAGAGTTACTCTCCATACCAATAAATTTTCTTACTCTTTATAGCAAGCAATATAGTCAAAATAGATGCAAAATTTAATCAATATTCACTTCCTTTATTCAAATAGTTAAAGTGTCAATTTTAAAGTTAAAGTGCCCCTGAATAAAGAAAAAAATTGCTATCCTTATGAAGGCTACATTATAGTGAAGAATGAAGAAATATAAAAACATAATTGGAATGATAATGCATAATGCAATTTCAGGCTGTGTGTATGTGTATGTATTTATCTGATAATATGATGATGTATACTTCTTCTTTTCTGCTAATTTCTCTGTGCTTTTTAGATCTCTGAAATTTTTTTGTAGACGCATTTGGCTTTATTAGTAAAAAGCCCGCCTGCAACATGAATGTCAGTGCTTCAGACAATCTGTCATTAGACCCTAACTTCATCCCCCAAATGCCAAAGTGAAGCATTTTGGTAACACATTTAGTATATTATGTACACTGACAACCAGAAACACACTTTATACTGACCTTATAACAAAATAAATTGACTGGTTGTAGTTCAGAAAGGTACATAAATATATCTCCACCTCACAGAGAAAGCTGAGCTAAGTCAATGGAGGCAACAATTATGAATCACTGCCCCTCTACAGAGAGAATACTACATTTGTCTGAACACACTCTTGTTATGAACAGATTTCACATGAGAGACTTCATTCCTTTATGTTCTCCCTTACTGGTAGAACACAAGTTGAAATCATTGTCTATAGCTATCACAATATAAAAAGCTTTTTAATCCTCTTAGGGTTTTTTTTTTTTTTAGAAAGAGCTTCCTTTTCATTTAATTCTACTGGCTGGATCAGTTAAACACAGAAATTTTTTTTTAATCTCAGTACTTAACAACCTAATACTATAAACAGCACCATCCCCAATGCCCTATATAACTCCTCAAAAGAAGACCTTTAGTAATTAAACTATACATTGAAAACATGAAGAAGGTCCACGGCCAGTTCCAGCACTGGTTGTACAACTTCATTATGACCTGCCTTCCACTTTGCTCTTAGCCAGGCCTCTCACAATTAATGTAGGAAGAATATGACAGTAATAGCTCCACTGTCATCTGTGATTCAAATCAGAAATTTTTACCGCATTCTCAATTACTCTCTAAGAAAGGGTGCTGTGCCTGTGACAGGCAGGCAAGTCTCCATTCATTCTCACACATTTCTAAGGCCACTCTTCCTCACTTAGCCCTATGATTCTCAAACATTTTATACTGTCACCAAAAGTAACCCATTTAAAATAACCAACGGAAGTGGCTGATTTAAGATCCCCTATGACCTATGAAATAAAGTCAATGTGTATGAGAAATTCAAAGTATTTATTTCTGCTGTTTCCAGTTCTATATAACCCCCTAAAGAATCAAAGCAATAAATTTGAATCACTTCCTTCTAGTACTTTTTATTGATCCCGGAAGTCTAACTGACCCTGTAGGCATCACAGATGTTCTCAATATTTTTTAGCTGGTTTGAATTACACAAATTAACGGCAGATGCTTAGCTGTGCCCTTCAGGCTACAGTATTTCTGTGTTTACTCTGTCAATCCCTACTGTTTACCCAGTCTGTACAGCACGGTCCTGTCTTCCCTTTTCCGGTTGCATGCCACTCTGCTCAGAATCCAGCCCTTTACCTTTGGCCTCATACAATCTAGTTCCATTTGGAATCAAATTGAAAGAAAAGAGTCACCCATAATTACAATATCTGTCAACCAGAAATATTTTCCTCACTGAGAGACAATGACTACAATGTTTCATTCTGCGCAGATGTATATCTGATATTCTAGCATCATTTCCTCAGAACGTTGCTGCCAGTTACATATGGTAGCCATGTCTGTTGCTCCCCTGATTCTGCATGACTGAGGCATCATTCTGTCACAGAAAGAATCTTTAGTATTTCTCATGCCCTTCTGCTTTCAAAGAAAGTTCATAAACAACTTCCCAGGTCCAGCATCACAAGTTGCACTCGTCCCTGATACTACAGTAAAACCACTCACATGTATCTGATCAATGTTAAGTAAAATGGAATAAATGTACCAGGAGAGCCTACATTTTTATCAGCGAGTCCAAGAATGATGAGCTCCTTTCCAGGCATTATAAGGAAAGAATCTAACTTTACTACACAGCTATTTCAAGCCTCAACTATTCTTGAATTCTGGATAAACATGGGAAATAGCTGCATCACTCTTTTCCTCTCCACAACTATTTCCTTATTACAGATTGTCTATAAATAGAATTTAACAGAAGTAAACATAATTGCTTAATAAGCTACTCTAAGTCAAGAAGATACAAGAAAAGACCAAAGAAAGGAAACATTGATTTTTTTTTTACATAAATAGGAGTAAGAGAAAGGATTTCTGTTCACTTTCACATCACCATACATGCCAATGTAAATCTGCAAGTAATCATTCTAACACACCTCCATGATCAATACAACCATCAAGTTTTTCTTTTTTTTGATCAGCCTTTACTGTGTATCAAAGCAGGAAAATATACTAATGTAATTTCACTTCAAGAATAACTCCTTGAAGGTTTAAATGTGTACACTATATATAGAATTTTAATTACCAGTGTCTCTTTCAAAGAACATATCAATACTAATGATGACCCCAAATTATATTATGATTGTTAAGAATGTATATTCAATAATCAATTATGGGAACCCAAAATGAAAGCATCTTCCATTCAGGATTATCCTTAATTTGTATAGATTCAAAACAGAATAAAAGTCTCTCAAAACTAGAATAAAAAAATATTTCCTTTCCCAACAAACAGAAACCCTTCATAAGATTTATAATGGCAACTCTTCTCGATTGCATGGCAGTTATACTTGAAATAATGTAACACCAAGATTACAAAGTTAAGAATTTATACTTTCTAGTATGCATATTAGCTGTTGAAAAATGTTCTCTAACCATATTATAATAAAATAAAAAATGTTCTCTAATCCTATTATAATAAAACCTGTTGGGTTCTTGTTGCTGACTCATCACAACTACTTTTCTGCCAACTCTAACATCAAGACATTATTCTCACCTTCTCTTACCTAAGCCCTGAGTTTTAGTAAGCTATGGAGTCCTACTTTATCTAAATGTGGCCTTTTTAGCCCATTCAATGCAATCCACATTGAATTTCCCCTTTACACTTAGTGTTTCAACATCACCCAAGACCTGCCATGTCTAAAATAACATTTAGATTCAAACCTATAGGAGGTTAAAATGTTTTCCAATTATTTCATCTTATCTTTAGACATTAAAAAGGACTGACTACCTCTCAGTTTTACTCTTGTTTCTATATTAGATAGTAAGAAACTTTGGCGTATTAAAGATGAATTCTACCAAAGAGATTTTTTTTCCTATTTTGTATCATTATTTAAAATTTTTATTAAGGGGGCTGGGAAGGTGGATCAGTGGTAGAGCGCTTGCCTTGCATGCATGAGGCCCTGGGTTCAATTCCTCAGCACCACATAAGCAAAAAGAAAAAAAGCCGGAAGTGGTGCTGTGGCTCAAGTGGTAGAGCACTAGCTTTGAGCTGAAGAGCTGAGGGACAGCGCCCAGGCCCAGAGTTCAGGCCCCATGACCGGACCCAAAACAAATTATTAAGGAATATGTTGTTTTGAATGTTATGAAAAGATATAATAAGTAAAAAGTTCTAAGAAATCAATATAAGCTGGGCATCAGTGGCTCATACTTGAATCCCAACTATTTGGGATGGTTAAAGTGAAGGATC